AGTCAATAAAACAACAGTATATGTCTACAGATATATCACGACATCTTTGAGCAAGTACGTTCATTCCAAACAGTGCCTCTCTCGTTCCAAATCCGTTACGGAAACCAAACTGAGTGTCATCCAGGTATTCCTCACATTTATTGTAGATACGACCATGTATTACCTTCAGAAAAATTTTCAATAAGTGGTTTAACAAACTGATGGTTCTATAATCAGCACAGGTTTTTGCTGTTGTCTTCTTAGGTAGAGCTATAAACAGTGAGTTAGACCAACCATTAGGTAGTTGTCCGCTGGTATAAATGGTATTGAAAAACGAAGTTATAGCCTCTAAAACATTGCTATCCTTTATAAGCTTATATATTTCAGTTGGAATTTCATCAGGACCAGTCGCTCTGCCATCTTTTGATGATTGTATGGCCTTTGTAACTTCACAGCGTGTTATTAGGGGTCCGTCGCAGTTAGTAATATCGGGAGGTGAACTACTCCTATCGTCTTCGAATAGGTTCGTGACGTAATTTTCCCATTCTTTAAGTTTGTCATCTACTTCGAATATTACTTTACCATTTTCATCCTGTAGCAATGCATTTTGTTTCTTATTAAAGATACCAGCCGCTTCTTTTACTTTTTTATACAAGTTAAACGTGTCGTATCTTTTTTCGAGTTCTTCAATGTCATGACACTGTTTGGCTAGATGTTGACTCTTTGCTTCTCGTATTTTACGTCGAATTTCTTTTTGTATGCTATTGTAAAGTGTTTCGTTGGTTTTTGCTAGTCGCCGTTGTTCCATCAAATCCAGTATATCATCTGTCATCCAAGCCTGCTTTTTTGGCTTTGACCTGCCTTGTAAATTTCTCACACAGATTTCTTTTACTGTCGTTACGATTTTATTTAAGCCCTCATCGACGTTTTCACCAATATTTTCCCAAATTAAATTTTCGTTCAGTTGTCTTTGAACTGATTCCTTAACTTTCTCGTCTTGTAGTTGGGCTGTATCAATCTTTTTGCGAGACTTCTTTTTGATCACCTTTTTTAATTTTAATTGGGTTACAGCTACTATGGGATTGTGATCGGACCCAATATCAGCACCTGGATAAGTTTTAACTGATTTGATGCAGTTTCTAAATCGATTTTTTATTAGAATGAAGTCGATTTGATTCCTAATAATTTTGTCCTCTGATTCTGCATTTGACTTCCAGGTGTAGAGTCTTCTCGGTGGTAGTTTAAAATGGGTATTCGATATAATGAAATCGTGTTCTTGACAGAACTGGACAAGTCGATCTCCACGTTCGTTTCTGTTTCCCAAGCCATATTCCCCCACAATGTTCAAACAGCGTCCTTTGCCGACTTTAGCGTTAAAATCTCCGAGGACTATGGTATTTTCTGCTGCTTTGACAAGATCTAGAGCATCAGTAAGATCTTTGTAGAATGCTTCTAATTTTTCTTCATCACTAGATGATGTTAGGGCATATACCTGAATTACGTTGGTAATAAACGGCTTTGAACTAAATTTTACTAGCATTACTCTGTCAGATATGGGAATATAAGTTAAAACTGATTGAGCTAAGTGTTTTGGTACTACGATTGCAACTCCATTATAGTGATTGGCATCTGTATTTTCGGCATGGTACACTTGATATCCATCTACGTCACATACTCCTGATCCCGGCCATCGCATTTCGCTTATTCCGAGGATGCTGATTTGCATTCTTTTCATTTCTTTTATGGCATTGTATATTTTACCTGACTCAAACATGCTTCTGACGTTCCATGTGGCTATTTTGCAAGGATTTCGCATATTAACGACCTGAGAGGCCCTGCAGTCTTGAGATTGTCCTCTCTTGCCGGATCTTGGATTCCGAGATCCATGATCATTAATGTTTTGACTTAAATTATTTACAGCCATGATAGTTAAAACTAGGAGTGCCACAAGGCCTTTAATGCAGTAGTTCTCCTTTGCTTTCTGCATCCTTATGCCGTTGACTAATTTGTAGTTTTATAGTTCTTCCGCCTTCGGAATCAATTTCTCAATTCAAGGACAAAAGAGTGCCCTGCCACTTACCAACTCGTCCGCCCGAAGCCGTTGGTCAGTAAGTGGGGGATTGCTTATACCGACAAATTTCAAATTTGTTAATCTTTCGTTGTTAATTCGCAGACCATTCGTCTGCGAATTTCAAATTTGTTAATCTTCTACCGTCAATGTTCAGGCCCTTCTGTTTACAGTTTTACAAGAATATTCTAGTACTGCGGTAAGCAGTTTAAGCGATAAGGTATCAACCTGTCGGACTCCTCTGCCAATTGGGATATGATCCGTGTTTGTATGTAGTTTCACCGACATAGTTGCGTTCTTGTTTGTATTGTAAATTAACCTTGTATATCGGTAGTCAATGCAGCATGCCTGTAGTGTTTCCAAGATTTTGTCAACTTCTACCGTATCAAAGGCTTTATGGAAATATACAAAAACCAGAACGAGTGGTCTATTGTATTCGATAGTCTATTCTATAACTATTTTTATGCTCTGTAGGTGATCATTTGTTTCAGATACGGTACGAAATCAGGCTTGCAGTCATTGGCTGGTAGAAATAAAGTTTTTTCTCAAGATAATTCGTTACTATTCTTGTAAGGAGTTGGTATAAGTGATCAAGAAGACTTGTAGTCTTATAGTTTTCTAATTCATGGAGGCCTCTTTTTATGTGTAATAGAATTACCTCAGCATTGCACCCTTTGTCGGTTATATTACTGACCAAAAGGCACATGTGAAAAAGGTTTTTTTTATTTTCTTAAATAGACAAGTGCCTTCGATTTTAATTGCATCAGTAACTACACAATCTTCGCCTGAAGATTTGTTATTCTTAGCTTTTATTAGAGCTAGGCTTATTTCGTCTATTGTGATTTTAAGTAGTAGTTCTGATTCTTGGTTGACAATGCCCTTTTTCCTTGTTAATATTTCTGGTACTTGATCTTCTCTGCTATTTGCCTTGTTTTATCTTGTGTATAGCAATTTGTAGAAGTCTTCAACTATTTTAAGGGTTTCCTTTTTTCTTAGTCTTTTTCTCAGTACTTTCATACTTCTATTTTCTCAATGGTATGATCGATTTGTTCTTGGTTGTATTTCCGATTGTCTTGTCTAACAGCTTTGGATATTTATTTATTTAATTTTTGTAGTTCGTCGGCTTTAGTTTCCGTTTCGCTTCTCATTTCTCTTCTTTTCTACATTAGTTGCCGAGTATTTTGGCTAATCTTTTCTTCTTTTTGAGTTCTAGGTCAGAATTTGTTTTAACTTTCCAGTAAGGCATTCGTTTATTTATTATATAAGTCGTTTATATTATTTTCTGTTTTAGGGTATTTTGCCTCATCTAAAAAATGAGTCGCAATACTTGCCACATTTTGTTCTGATTCTATTCAGTGTGGCCCAGATTCGTCTTGGTTGGTGGAAACTCTCTGGGTTGCTTGTGATACATGGCATATTCCTGGTGTAAGGCAGTGCATTTTTCTTCTAATTTTCTCGCCAACGACCAGATATCTTGAAGTACCAAAAAGAGGCTCAGAAGATATTACGTCCCATTTATTTAAGGAACTAAGCAGTTTACATTCTAATGTGTCACACGTAATAACCTATTGTAATACTTGCGGCGGACAAAACCGCAATATTAATATGAGCATAATGAAAATGATAGATCAAAAATTCCTACTTTCTGGTCACACTCATCTAGAGTGTGATGTCGATTACGCTAGTAACGTTATAAACGTCACAAAAGAAAGTAAAACATATTATAAGGTTCATTTTATGGTGTGCAGAAACCTCTTGGAGTGAGTACTTTCATTGTAACCTATATTTTATAATTCTGACAGTATTTTCAATATTCATCCTCCTTAGGACAAGAAATAATACAAAATAGGGAAATTCAAACTGAAGAAACAAAAAGAAGAAGAAAGTTAGCTTGGACAGCATTCGGTAAACTGAACTGTATACTCAGAAATCAACAAATTATTCCGATATTAACTTATGCGGCACAAACATGGACAATCACAAAAAAGAATATGAATATACTTAGAGTCACTCAACATGCGATTGAAAGAGCAATGCTAGATATATCACTTAAGGACAAGAAAACAGACACATGGATACGACAGAAAACCAAAGTCACCGATGTGGTGCAAAAATCATTAAAGTTGAAATGGGAATACGCTGGACATGTAGCTAGGAGCGATCTAAACAAATGGCACAGATCAATTTTAACCTGGAGACCATACCAACACAAAAGACCCAGAGGCAGACCTCCTATGAGATGGACAGATAGCGTACAATAAAAAACAATGAAAAGGAGGACTTGAAGAGGCTTATGTTTAGATGTGGACGTGAATGGCTAGACGAAGAAGAAGAAGAAGTCTTATCGTTGCAAGATCAAAAAAACTAAAAGACGTTTTGAGTTCATGAACCGATTTTTTCTCATTCTACGTTTTTAAATGACGTTTTAATTTAAAAACTACAAGTAATGAAGGAATTAAAATTAATTGGTTAAAAATAAGATTAGATACGAAGAACCAATTGGAGTTATTAAAATTAAGTTTAGTCTAGATGAAAATGAAGATTTCAAATCCTTGAATTTAAGAAGTAAAAAAAGAAAGACCAGCAAATGTTAACAATTCAAATCTACTAGAATGTTATGAAAATCCATTGCTAATTAACACGTTCGCGACGAGGATAGTTTTATGTATTCATCCATAAAAGTGTAACATTTTTTAAAAATTTTTTTCGCTATATTTGTTTATTTTATTGTAAATAAATGTTATTCCTACAATAATATGTTGTGTTTTTTTTAGTTTTGGGTGTTTTTGTGTATGACCCACCGGTGGGTCACAACGTCCCTGAGTTAAAATTTTTCCTCACAGTCATTGTGACCGGTGGGTCACGGAATTATAGGTACGTAGCGGTAAATACGTAAGATTATTTTATTTCAGATAATCGTTAAATAGCAGAACCGAGTAGCAAACTTGTGAGAATGAGTTCCAGATCACGTAGAATAATGGCTCTTGGCCAGCAGAATGCACATCGATAAATTGTTCAAGAAGCAGCATCCCTGGAAGATCCAAGTTCGCCTGCAGCATCCCCAGAAAATGACAATCCGACTGCTGCATCTCTGGAAAATTTAAGTCTGTCTCCAGCATCCCCGATAAATCTTAGCTCACCTGCAACATCTACAGACAATTTAAGTCCAACTGCAGCATCACCGGAATATCTAAATCCGCCAGCAGTATCTCCAGAAAATCCAAGTCCCTCTACTTCTGAACTACAAGGAAGATTTCAACATCTATCATCCTCAAAATCCGACCCGTTTGAGGATTATGAAGAGTCCTATAGGCCTTGTGATCAGGATGTGATAAAAAAATGCTCTTTCTGATAATAACAGTTCTGACGATTACTCTAGTGACAAGAGTTTGGCAAGCGATGCAGGCATACAAAAAACAGTAAATCCTGTCAAATGGGGACCATTTACAGACTTACCTCTAAATTTTCAGTTCTTCGGAAAAACCGCTTTGAAAGTTAACAATTTAGATTTATCTCAACCTTACGCTATCACAAATAGTTTATTACTAATCTAATCATTGACATTATAGTAAAGGAAAATAACAGATACGCATATCAGATCATTCAATCGAAGCCACTGCGACCACGGTCTCTGTTGAAAACTTGGACAGATACTAACATGAGCTAACATGAGCCGAAATGCAAAAATTCTTACTATCTTGCTAATGATGGGGATTTATCAGCTACCAAAAATGCGCCTCTATTGGCCAAATTATGAAATGTACGCTAATAAGCGAATAAAAGAAATTATAAATCGCAACAGATTCGACCATTTGTTGAAATGCTTGCATTTTTGTAATAATAACGATCCACTAGCTGGCCAAGACAAACTCTCGAAAATAAAAGATGTTGTTAATCTTATTTGTCAACAGTTTAAGGAGACACTTGCATGAGATTGATGAGAGCATGGTACCTTGGAGAGGCATGTTGGTGTTCCGTCAATACTTACCAGCAACACACACAAATACGGAGTGAAACTCCATAAAATATGTCCGTAAAAATGGGGTCCGTGTCTTGAAATGGATAGATAAGCGGCAAGTACTAATGATGAGTACTGTACTACATCACACTGATCAACAGATTTCGAATACAGACGTAAAAACCGACAGGGTGAAGAAGTACTAAAACCCCCCTCTATCATTGATTAGAATCAGGCCAAAAAATAAGTTGATATTTCAGATCAGATGTCTTCTTATTACACATGCCTCCGAAAAATTCTGAAGTGGTATAAGAAGGTTATTTTTGAGATTATTCTCGGAACATGTGTTGTTAATGCATGGGTGATACATAGCTCTCACAACCAAGCTAAAAACAAACTTGACATGCTACGATTTAGAGAAAAACTTTTACAAGGATTGCTATCCGATACAGAAGAAATTGCCACTGAAGAACTAAGAGTAGTGCATGATGTTCCGTGTAATAGGAGTCCGAGAAAACGAAGTAGAAGTAACCATAGGCTAGAGAAATATGAAGGAAATGCGAGAAAAAGCACAAAACGATGTTCTAATTGCTACAAAATGCTTAAAGATGAGAAAGGTAGAAAAGTGCCATCGGCAAAAGCAAGTAAGATACTTACATTTTGCGAAGACTATTATGTATTATGTATTATGTATGTATGTATTATGCATTATGTATTCCGTGTTTTAAGAAAATCCACGAATACGTTAAGTAATCTGTATCAATAATGTTGGTAGAATTATTTGTTATTTTTTGAGATTTGTTACCACAGCCACGGTAAGATGTAATATTAAAATGTGTTTTATTGCCTATTGTTTTTGAAGAGAAAAACAAGACGCCCTAATGTTTAAGTTAAGTTTTTAAATCATTTTGTTACTTAAAATATATTTTTTTAGACTTCAAGTGTTTTTAGTGCTTACATAATTCCAAAAACCACGGTGAATCTAGACATATATCTCATTCTTGCAGCCGTCACTGCAGTATTATATTCTCCAGAATAAACTGTCCAATTTTAGGTTGAATAAGATATGTACTAGACCTTGACCCACGGATGGGCCCGCACGGCTCTTGGCAAGAAACGGTGTGACCCAGCGGTGGGTCACATTGTCACGAAGGTGTTAACCCTAAAAAGAAAGCTGATTTATTAAGTTTGTTACCATTAATGCATAAAGACTGTCGCCAAAGTTAAACCAAAGTCGTGGAACGTCTAATCAAGCCGCCGAAATCGAGGATTGTTATTCTTCTAAGGATCGTAATAAGGAATAGTTATTTGTAAATATTGATACTAATTTGTTTTACCTTTTATACTATTTACTGGAACGATGTGCCAATACAATACATACAGTAAAACCTCGATATAACAGACTACTTGGGGGGACGGGGTGTCCGTTAAAGCCGAAAGTCCGTTATATAAAAATATGTTTAAAATAAATCAAAATCGTTTTTTTTTGAAAATTAAAATGTATGTACACTGTGTTTAGATAATACAGATGATACAAAATACGAACAAAATTCTATTTAATTGTCTTCGGAAATTCGTCATGAAGTGACGTTGCAGTGTACGTCGACGCGCTTGCTGTCGATAATCCTGTTTTGAACAAGTTTCGTTTGTACTTTCGATGTTTGCTGTTTTTTTATGATTAACTCTCTAAAATTACGAAAATGCGTAGAATACAGTTTAACTATTTGATGTATAATCAAGAAATGTTATTACAATCGTCGAGATGCGATCTTACTATTTATTCATTTTTAACAGTTTTGTTTTGTCGTCCTGTTAGCTATCTTCACTTCCATCCTCATTTTTTAGGTTCATAACTTCATCTGCTATTTCACTTTCAGTCATGATGTTATACCCAGCGTCACCTTCATCTACTTTTAGCCATTGTAAAACATCTTCCTCCGTATATGTTCTCCAGCATTATTATGTATTGTCCTACAATATCAGTAACTTTCAACCTTTCTAAATCTCTTCTTTTATTCAAGACTCCGTGCCTTTTGCGAAAGCGCCAGAGCCATACATCACTTGCGCTGAATGGTATGTCCATATGATTTGCTAATTTAATTGCAAAAGATTTCAATTCGACTGCTCAGACCTGGATACCAGATACCAACCACTAGAACGTTGTTGGCCATATCATTTTAAGATTGCTTCTTCCAGTGAAGTTTCACGAGTCAATTTCATTATTATGTTACGTTACGTTACGTTATTTGTCCGTTATATCCGAAGTCCGTTAAATAGAGGTCCGTTATATCGAGGTTTTACTGTATTTGTTTTCTTAAGTTTGCAAATAATTTTGTAATTTTTATCAATCTCCTTACTTATGGCAAGAGTTGATTTTCGCCCTCCTAGTCATAAATTTTGTTTGTAACTTTAAGCTTTACATATAATGCTGTTCATTTATTTTTGTCTGATACCATTTGGTTTTCGTGCTACAATTTAATATAAACCGGACAAGTTGTTTTTATCATTTGCCAACAAATAGCAATTTGAACATATCAACTTTGCCATAACGCCACAGAAATATATTATCAATACAAAAATTTATGAATTTCTAGGTTCTAAATCTAAAACGTAGACCATTATAAAATTACTTAACTTATTTTTCTATTAATGTGATAAAAGGTCAGGGATAATAATTATTGATGTTTGTATGATGAAAATATCACGACTTACATTTCACAACATTGAAAATTATTTCTTTGGCATCAACGTGATGGAGATAATTTAATTATGTATTCGTTTTTCTGAAACATCTGTTTGAGACGATGGTTACGACGGCAATTTTCATTTTGTACCGAGCTTTTCCGAACAAATCTGTAGTACTCCGGTCAAAATAGACATTGAAGGTTACATTAATTCGCACCTTCCTAAAAATTGGCATGATTGTTGGGAACCCTATTATACACAATTTGTCAATTATCCACATCAATCCGGAGTGTGGAAAAAAATTTATTCAAGGTCAAATGTTGCAAAAATCGGTTTTTTGAGTTTTTCAGCTAAACGGTAAGTTTTATAATAAAAATAGATGAGACAAAAATGATTCATCATGCAATTATCTATAAAAATTGTTCCTACACATTTTTTCCTAAGAATCACCATTTCGAAGATACAGCGATGCAAAATGTTGAAAAAGTTGTATTCTTCATAATATGCATGTCAATTACCGTAATATACTTTACAGAGCGATAATATAAGTAAAATCCGTTGTCACTGTTCGATGATTCTGGAATGCGTAAATCACAAAAGTCAGCTATTTACGATTGTTTTAAAACAGTAAACATAGATATTGACAACATAAATGCTACGTACATAATCGACGGAGGATATCTATTACATCGTGTAGTGTGGGATCACGAAGAAACATTTAACCATATTTTAGATAAATACGTGCAGTATGTACATAGACATTTTGACCATAGAGTGACTGTGGTATTTGATGGCTATGCTGATTCTACAAAAAATATTAAAGCTGCCGAACAACGTCGTCGAGCTACAACAACATCTTCATCTTCGGACGTCATTTTTGATGAATTTATGACAGTTACCACAAGCCAACAGAAATTTATCGCAAATACACACAACAAGTCTCGGTTTATTTCAATGTTGAAAGAAAAATTTACGTCTGAGAATATCTCTGTAAAGCAAGCTGATAATGATGCTAATGTCCTGATAGTTGAAACAACAATAGAACATTTTAACTCGATAAATCCAACTATTCTTGTTAGTGAAGATGTTGATTTGTTGGTATAACTTACTGCTCGAACACCAACTGAAAAAATTATTTATTTTTTGAAACCTGGGAAGACTCAACAACAATCAAAAATATATTCATCCAAGAGTTTATCTGCTTTTTCAAAATGCCAAAATCATATCTTATTTCTACATGCAGTAACTGGTTGCGACACGACATCAGCATTTTTCAGGAGAGGTAAAAGATCAGTTTTGAAATTGTTTGAGAGACAGGATTTACTTGATTGTGCTGAAGTTTTCAAAGAAAGTACCTTTACTCCACAAGATGTAATGACCAACGGAATTCGCTTTCTTCTTTCAATGTACGGAGCTCCAAAAAAAATTACATGCTTAGATAAGTTTCGATACTTATCTTTTGCAAAAGAAACATATAAAAAGAAACAAGTACAATTAGCTTGTCTTCCTCCAACCTCTGCTTCTGCTCATCAACAATGTATTTCGGGTATATTATCAAGTTCAAGTATGGCTTGGTAATAAACTAAACCCAGAAGACTGGGGTTGGAATTAATTGACATTATATTGGAACCAGTTCAGACTTTATTCCCTCCTGCACCAGAAAAACTCCTCAATTCAATTTTTTGCAATTGTAAAAAGGGATGTAATGC